CAAAGTTTAGGCAGATTCATTCACTTAGTGACTGCACACAGTGCACCTGATTGATAGACAATTTGCTTTCATCCATCCTCATCTCATGCAGCATTTGATGTATTAACTCTCCTTTCAATTGTTCTCTTTGTTCCACAGGATGTTTGGCTCCCTTTCAGGAACTGCTGGTAAGAATCTTTTCTTTTTCAGAAGAAGTTTTGTTTTCTAAAATCACATAACTGATAGTTGTGTCTGTTCTAGAGATTGAGGCCTGCATAATTTATCACAGAAAAAAAGTAACAAATTATGTCTCTAGTTAGAATGGAACAAATTTCAGCAATTAAAATATGTCAGATATCAGAAAAACATCTCAGACTCTGCTACAGTAAAGGCTAAGTAAAGCACAAAACACTTCATCATTTCCCCAGATGAAAGGACACAGGAATTGAAGCTTGGCCAGCTCAGGGGAATTGCAGGAACATGCCAGTAAAACCTGCCTTGAGCTGTTAGAGGTCAGCAGTGTCATAAAAGGGATGAGTCAAATCCAGGCGATGGAGAGGAAAAGTTCTGAGAGAAGGGAATGGGAGATGAGGCCCCAGCCAAGCTCAGCACCCATCACAGAGTGGGCTGTGTGAGCTGGGTTAAATGATTGCTGTTCTTTCTCTCCATGTCACTGCAGATAAAAGAGACAAGCACTGAAAGCCCTTCAAAGGTCATCTGCCATCTGAGAAAAAGCAAACAACACATGGATTGAGATGGAGAAATCACTCTGAGCTGCTGGAAATGACTGTTGAAGCACAGAAGGTTCTTGGCTACACAAAGTTTAGGCAGATTCATTCACTTAGTGGTGATTGAAATGCAAATTGGGTCAGCTTTGCAATTATTCCTAGGTTTTGCATGTATTGAGTTGCTGCATCTACTCAAATAAAGATGATATTCTTGCAATCTTTGCTTCTTTGGAGTTACTGTGATAATTCACTGAAGTTTGGCTTTACTCAGACAGGAATTAGCCAGCCAGCCTCTCTGAGAGTGCTCACAGGGTGGGGAGCTTGGGCTCCATCCTGATTCTTGCTGGCTCCTCTTGTTTGGAATACAGAGGCACTGGCATCCCCAGCTCCTCAGAGGGGGACACCAGAGTGACCTGGGATTCTCACTGTGATGCTGAGCAGGGGCAGGGGGATGGGAGGTGGTTCTGGAGAGCAGCACGAGCTGGGAGATGGTTCATAGGGTAAAATACAAAGTAAAATACTGGCTCGTAGATAATTCCTGCAGGAGCACACGGGGGTGAGCTGCAGTTGGGAGAATTCTTCACTTCCATTCTCCTTTCACACAGAGCTTACAAACCATTAGCACCAATTTCAGCCCACCTACCTCCCATGCCATTGCAAGGATATCATCCCAGCTGAAATTCCAAGTAGAATCACTTTTAGTTCCAACACCCAGAAATTACTCATTTTATTTGCTACCAAACTGACAGGCAAGGAAACTTCAGGGATTGTGCTAAAAGCAAACCATGGCTCCATCCCAACCAGAACCTTTCCAGCTCCTGCTGTAACCAAACTGAGGCACAGTTTGCTCCACAGCTGGGGGGGAATGAAAACAGGGATATGCCCAGACTGAAAGTATCCCAGCACTGCTCTCCCCCAGAGTTTGCAGTCTGTGTTTCAGGGAGACATGATAAAATCCTTGAGTGCTTCTCTCCTTGGCCCTGGGAAACGTCCATGATCCCTTGTTCACAGAGATTAATGGCTCAGAGCACCCCAAGCTCTGGACCTCCTCTCTCAAGGTGGGGCAGTCCTCTTCAACCCAAAGGTGCTGGTGCCTGGGCTTGGTTCAGCAGTGACTCAGGTGACCTGCCAACATCAGCTGTCACTACTGACACGACAATCCCTGCTCAGCCTCTGGAATGAAGTATGGTGGCATTAAGCAGTGGCTTCACTTTGACAGGGGAAAACTGTGGCAGGAGAGGAGAACAGTGAAAAATACACAGAGAAAGGGACAAGATGGGGAGAACAGGGGAAAGATGGGCAGAATCAAAGGGAGCAGTGGCCCAAGAGGCACAGGGGGCAGGGGATCCTTCAGGAGCTCCCCCATTTCTCTGGGGTTCACCTCTGGAAGAGCCAGGAGAAGAAGATCTTGTGCATTCAGTACAGGCAGATGCTGAGTGCAGACACATTAACACATAGCACCAAACTTATTCCCTACAACACTGAGACCTGGAAAACTCCCTACATGAAAGAACAAACAGCTCCAGATTTGTTTTTTAATCTTAACAAACCCCATTCCCTGACAGCAATTTCTTGCGACAAAACCAGTCAGGGTGGGAGCTCACTGTTGCAGATTTCTGGTATTGTCCAGCTGCAAATGTGCAAGTCTGACAAGAAATTCTCATGCTACAAGATTACAAGCTATAAAAATCCTGAATTCTTGCTTTTATAGCTTAGATCTATTTTTATTTTATAATTTTATTTTATGGTTTTATTAATTTTTTCCTCTATCTGTAAGGCAGTGAAGGATTGCTGGTAAAATGTTTGATATAAATCACTCAGCCACTATAATTTTAGCATCTGGTTCAGGGGAAAAAAAAGTGTTTTCTAAAGGCATGTCATGTCTCCTCTGAGTGATGGTTTTATCACTCATAGAGTGATCACTGAGATGACAAACAAGCTGCTGCTTGACTGGAACTTGCTGTCCTGAGAGGAGGGGCTGGAGTGTGTCAGCTCCATTAATCCCACAGCAGAGGTAACAAAAGAGTTTGTGCAGCACAGACATGTCAGGGAATGTCTTCCAGGAAAGCTCTGTGGAAGATGACAAACCGAGGAGCTCAGGTACCACAGGAACAATTCTGAGACTGTGCAAAGGATGAGTCCATGTGTCATTGGATAAAGAACCTCTGAGCAAAGGTAGTGAGACCAGAATAAAGGTATAACCTTGAAACAGCCTTTCTTTTTATTTCTTTTTTTAAAAAATTTTTTAAATTTCAGTAAGTGGTTGGCTTCTATTTCCCTGTACAGACTGTAAGGAGAAAATGCTGTAGAAATCATGGTCTAAATTATGTTATGGGGCATGATCTGTATTGGCTGCTTGATTTATTTTGTCTCCCAATGGTAAATATTCAACAGAAAGGAACAGTTTTTATCTGCTACCTGGTTTTTGTAAGTGTTCATCTGATACTGATCCAGCCTGGGGCATGTCAGAAAGCAGCAAAGTGTGTTTCACCATTGACTTTCCAAAGGAGTTATCACACCTGAGTGAAAGAAGACTCAATGAAAACTCCCCAAAGTTTCCTACTAAATTTTGTGGTGTTTTGTTGCTTGGGGTTTTTTAATGGAATATGATTTTCTTATTGTGGGCTCTCTCAGTTGAACAGCCCCTGGCAGTGCTCACGCTTTGGGGCATTGATTACAGGAGCCTTTAAGACAATTTTTTATCTTCAGGAGGGCTTGTCTGAACGTGTTTCATGAGCCACCAACCCTTGGAGACACAGGGATCTGGCAAGGTACACAGACCATTCATCTGCCCAGCAGCAAAACTGAAGGGCTGTGGCAAAGGGCCAGGTTCAGTTTGAAACATGTTTCCAGAGCAGTGACACCCACCCTTGTGCTCTGCTCAGCCTGCACAGTGCCCGTGCCCAGAGCCAGCCTGCAGGGGCACATCACAGCTGGACTCTGCCACTTCTTCCCTCCTGAGTGAAAATGCTGTGCATTCCCTGTGCCTGCACTAAAATCTCAGCTGGAAATGTCAGAAACCCCCTTGGTTTATTCCAACAACTCCATGAACCTTGGTTTATCCAAAATCCCCATCCTGAGTTCTAAGCTCAGTTTCTGTACTGCCAAAGAATGCTAAAAATAATGCTCTTCTCATGATGTTTTTAGCAAACATATCAGTTTTCATCTTTCAGCTTTATTTGAGGTCCCTGTGTTGTGCAGAGAACGAGGTGCTCTGCAAACTGCACAGTCCCCACAGCCCGTCCCCAGCAGGGCACACGGGCAGCTCCTGCTGCCTCTCACACTGCCCAAATCTGCCCTCCCTGCAGGGCTGCAGGGCTGAGTTCCTGAATTTCACTGGCAAGTTATTAGCTCAGTCATGTATTTCTGTTTCAGACTCTTGCTTTAAATGAAAGATTGAGGTGCCTCTTCTGAGTGTTTCTCAAGCCCTACTTTCAAATGCTACTCCATTTCCTCGTGCACACTGGTATTAAACACATGCATTGCTACCAGGACAGTGTTACCTTAAACCCATTCTCTTCACATTTTCCAAAGTAACAGGATCTTAGTCCTCCCACATTTACTCTTTTAACTGAGTTGTTTCAATCTGTGTTACCTTTCTGGACTATTTCACAACTATTAATAAATTTACTGTTTCCACTCTCCCTTGCACACCAATGGATGCTGACTGTTCCTCACACAGTGCCATGAATAAATGCTTTTGTAACAAAAATTCAGACTCCAAAATCTAAATATTAGTTCCAAGAAAAAAATCAAGAATAAGAACATTTCTAATTCAACTCCAAAATTTTAAAGATAAAAAATGTAGATGAAAAAGAAGGAATAATGGTGAGATGAAGAGATGATTGCACATTTTTCAATGAAAGAAGAGTTTTACTTAAGCCTCATTTTTAGAAAAAGTTGACTTTCTCAAGGTAGCCATGGCAAGCATTGTAAATAGGCAAGTGGGTGGGGCTGAACTCACTTTGTTTTTCCATTCTTAAATGTCAGAGAAGTAAACTCCAAGTTTCAGAACTATAGCCTGAAGAAAAAACATCATCTGATTCATGCCTTTTGTTTAATTAAAAAAAGAAACCCCAAGCCCAAGCCCCTGCGATGTGCTGCCAGCACTGCTTGTCAGGAATGTCATCACAGTTGGCCTCACCTCTAGGGAGGAGAATTTTGGAGGGAGGGCTGCAGTGGGGTTTGTCTCCAACATGAGGATATAAAAGAGGCAGCAGGGCAGTGAGGGAGCAGGCTGTCTTCTCTTGCCAGGGTGCATAACTGACCTTTGCTCCTTCTCTTGCTTCAGCCATGGCCACTTCCTACATGAGCTCTTCCTCCACCTACGGGGGTGGCTTTGGGGGCAGCAGCTCTCGCCTGTCCTCGGTGCGCGCCGGAGGCACCTGCCGGGCCCCGAGCATCCACGGCGGCTCCGGCGGCCGTGGCGTCTCCATCTCCTCGGCCAGGTACGTCTCCTCTTCAGGAGGAGGCTGTGGCATTGGCGGGGGCTATGGAGGAGGCTTTGGAGGGGGAGCAGTCTGTGGCTTCGGAGGGGGCTCCGGCTTCGGAGGGGGCGCTGGCTTTGGAGGGGGCTCCTGCTTTGGAGGGGGCGCTGGCTTTGGAGGCGGCGCTGGCTTTGGTGGAGGATTTGACCTTGGTGGTGGCTTTGGTGGCGGCGATGGCCTCCTCTCTGGCAATGAGAAGATAACCATGCAGAACCTGAATGACCGGCTGGCTTCGTACCTGGACAAAGTACGAGCCCTGGAAGAGGCCAATTCGGATTTAGAAGTGAAAATCCGAGACTGGTACCAGAAACAAGCTCCCACCAGCCCTGCCCGTGACTACAGCAATTATTACAAGATAATCGAAGATCTCCGAGACAAGGTATGACATTCATGTGTAGAGGAGTTATAAGAAGGCAAGAGAATTATGGAACTGCATGTTCCATGTCTTTAACATAATTACAAAAGAAGTAGTGAATTCCTCATCCCAAATTCATTGATGTCCTGAGCATTCTAGCAGAATAGTCTCTTCTCAATTTAAATCCCAAGTATCTTATCCTGACAATGTGATGTTTGTTGAAATTAAAATGATTGCAGTAGAAGTTAGCAAAATGTGTTTAGAATTATCAATATATTTATTCAGAAATCAAACAGTAAAGAATGTGACAAGTAGGCCTCAAAGACTGGAAAGATAATTCACCTGGCCACAGATAAGATCAGGTGTTGTACAAACACATGCTCCTATTATGGTTCTAATCCATGTTGCACAGAGTATCACAGCCCTCTGGTTTGCTCATGAAATGTGGATCAGATATTTTACCATTACTCACAGGAATTTTTCTCCATGTTTCTGATTGCCAGATCCTTGCTGCTACCATTGACAATTCCCGGGTCATTTTGGAGATTGACAACGCCAGGCTGGCTGCTGATGACTTCAGACTGAAGTAAGTTCACCTGGAGCTCATTTGTCTTCACTCTACTTGTCTTCACTCTCTCCAAGCAGTTTTTCCTTCAGTAACTTCAGATACAAACCATCCTGGCAGGCAGAATCCATTGAGACAGGACCAATTCAGAATAGAAGCCTGACAGAACACAGCATTCAGATCACTGAGCTGTTTGCATGATCAGTTACAGCCCATGTCTTCATTTCTTTGTGATACTCAAATATTTTTAGTAGCCTGAATCAGGGGAAAGAAGGCAGGAATAGGTGAGATTTTCACTTAGGAGGAACTGAGTGGCAGGAAGAGAATGCTGTGGGGCTTCAGCATTTCTCTGCTGGAGTCTGAAGTTTAGAGTAAGGTGGGGTTTTTCCAGCTCCCAGGCTCAGCAGCACATCAGATGATAAAGGTCCATGTGCAGCCGCCTTCCCTGCAGCAATGCACCTGCAGGTTTCTATTTTCCCTCCTGTGTCCTTGGCAGCCCTGCCCCACCTGTGCTTTCCTGCACAAATCTGGGAGGACACTGCAAAACTCCTGTCCTGTGTGACAATGTTTCTATTGATGCTGATAACCAGTATTAGGTTGTGCAAGGTGAAATGTCGTGTCCTCCTCAGGAACAAAATCATACAGCATTGTCTGTGCTTCCTTATGCTATATTGGAAAAAAAAAAGCTTTATTGCTTTTACACCTCTAAATCTGTATGTTTTCATCTACAGTCCACTGTTCCTCCTATATGTTATCATTTTACAGCTCTACTGAATACAAACTCGGACGTGTTGCAGTGCTTGTGTCTTTTGTGAACTGCAGGTATGAGAACGAGCTGTTCCTGCGCCAGAGCGTGGAGTCCGACATCAACGGCCTGCGCCGCGTCCTGGACGAGCTGACCCTGTCCAGAGCCGACCTGGAGATGCAGATTGAGAACCTGAAGGAGGAGCTGGCTTATCTGAAGAAGAACCATGAAGAGGTGAGAGTCCTGGCAGTGCAGGGAGATCACTCCCCTTTGGAATTTATCTCTTATAAATGAAAGATACGTGTAAATTACATGTAGATACGTGTGTCCTGTGTGAGGACGCCAAGATAGAGCTGTTGCAATGAGAAAGAAAATGTGATAAATGTTTTATGTGAGTTCCATCTGTGATATTTGATAGCACAGGTACTGTGTACCACAGCAGGGATTGCTGGGGGCAGGAGCAGTGTGAGAGGAGAGAGCCTGATCTTTTTGTGTCCTCTCTTTGCTGTTCATGCAGGAAATGAAAGAGTACTCCAACCAGCTGAGTGGAACAGTCAACGTGGAAATGGATGCAGCTCCTGGCATTGACCTGACCAGAGTTCTTGCTGAGATGAGGGAGCAGTATGAAGCTCTGGCTGAGAAGAACCGTAAGGATGCTGAGGCCTGGTTCTTCACTCAGGTATGGTCACCAATGAACAGCACAGCACTGCCTCAGCATTACTGTCCTGGCAGGTCCCTACCTCCCTCAAAATGACTGATTTTTATACATTTGTATGTGATTTTACAGTTGTTTTTCCTTTCAGACTGAGGAGCTGAACCGTGAAGTTGCCACCCACAACCAGCAGATACAGACCAGCAAGTCAGAGATCACGGAACTGCGCCGCAACCTGCAGAGCCTGGAGATCGAGCTCCAGTCGCAGCTGAGCATGGTACAGCACTGCCTCACCCTGTCCCTTCCTCCCTCGCTGTCTCACCTCTCCTGGACTCCCCCTCCGTGGGACAAACTTCCTTCTAACCTGTTGTGACATTGCTGTGCTTCAGAAAGCTGGGCTGGAGGCCAACCTGCGGGACACGGAGGGCCGGTACTGCGCGCAGCTGGCTCAGATCCAGGCCCTCATCAGCAGCGTGGAGGAGCAGCTGAGCGAGCTGCGCTGCGACATGGAGCGCCAGAACCAGGAGTACAAAATGCTCATGGACATCAAGAGTCGCCTGGAGCAGGAGATCGCCACGTACCGCCAGCTGCTGGAGGGCCAGGATGCACAGTATGTCACTCTGTCCCCGTCCTGATGAGCAGAGAAGGGTAACAGCACTCTGTGGCTGCCAGGGGGACTCGGCAGTGCTGTCACACTCCCTGCACACGCAGCCTTTGGAGCACTGGCAAAGTCCCTGGTACTGCCATACCTCCAGTTAAATCTGCACATTGGTGGTGTGGAGGATTTGAAAATATAAATGCCACTATTTTGACCATGATGAATTATAAAAGGCACCAGGCCCTATATATATGTCTCACTTAATCCTCTGATTGCACTGGAATTAGAGCTTTCAGCCTGAGACAACCTATAAAAACCTGCTCCCATTATTTCTTTAGGTCCTGGTTTTTTCTATTTGTGCCCAGAGGTGAAAATTAATACTCATCCTCACACACCAGTATCCCCAGCAAGAAAAGAGCCTGGAACAGACTCCAGCTTACTTCAGTAAAATCTGCATTTTCATGCCTACTTCTCATATCTGATCTATACATGGAATCACTTTTGATTTCTGAGGAGGAATCAGCTCCTTATATAGTATCTAGAAGAGGCATTTTGAGGAGAGGAGCAGTATAAGGAGACACCTCAGGACAAGGAACTGGTCTGACCACTGTTCCCATTCCCTTTCAAGTACATAGGGGTGGATTTCAAAGCTGAAAGCACCCTAACACCACCTCTAGTAACAACACACCTCAGAACCAGCCATTGAGAGCAGCTGTGTGAAATCCTGGCTGTCCACACAAATTCCTAAATGGTTCAATGGTTTCAGGGGACAAGGTCAGGAATGGTCATTAATCAAATATTTCTTTTTTACAGGTTGTCAGGACTGAACCCCAAGGATGGTAAGAAACATTTTTATTTAATGAGGGGCTGAAATGAACAGGCAAAATAGGATTAAATAAACCTTTTAGCCTTGGATTTCTTCTTACTACCACAGATTCCATTCTCCCCACAATGAGCGTGTTCTGTATCATGTAGAGACAAAAATATAATACTTTATTTTATGTGCATTTTTGAAACCAGTAGATTTCCAAAATGATTGCATGAACTGCTCATGGGATTCTAAAATACCCAGATATCCTGAAGATTCATTCCTCTGCTGATTCACATAACATACAAGATGCTTCCAAATCCATATCTGCTGTGCACTCGCAAGGTTTTCTGGATGAGAACCAGGAGGGAAAGTAGATAAGATGTAAAGGCAGCTCTGCCTTTGATATGGGAAAGATCTTGTGAGGAAACAAACAAACACAACCTCGTGGTTCAGCTCCTCAGGGTCTTGGCAGTGCCTTAGTGGTTTTATTGTTCCCTATTTAATTTTTTTATTCCTCCTACAACAGCATTTGGGAGCAGTACAAGAGGTCGCTCTGGCACGGACGATGATGGAAAACCTGTTTCTACCCGTGACAGGAGATACCCATAAAGAAATACCAAATCTCCACGTGGACCCAGTGCAGCCTCCACACTGGCTAATGCTGAGATAAAGAGCCTTTCACTTCCCCAAATCACAAGAATGTATCCAAGAATGTCTTTCCTTAGATTTGTTCTGCCTTTGTACATGAGCACTGGCTCGCTGGCTCAGAGATGCCAAAGCCTGTTTTCTGCTGGTGCTCTATTGTGTCCTAACAATAAAGTTTCTGTTCTGCTTCTGCAAATAAATCCAGTCTAATGGTGTTTTTTGAAGCCACTGTGCCACACACAGCCCACAGGCCCTCCCAGCATGGGCTGCTGGAACCCAGCCAGGGGATACTCTGGGAATAACAACAGCAATAACAATAATAACCTTAAAAATAATAATGAAGATAGTGATGAATGGACAGATAAAGTGCCATTAGAGTCTGCCAGCCATCTGGAGCTGGTATCAGTGAAAAACAGAGAAGATAGCATAAAAAATCCTTAAGATCTTTGTTCTCAATTCCAAGGGCACAACAGGGTTACAATTCATGCACAAATAAAATGCATCTCTGAAAAAAATGCATATATTTGTGCTCCTACGCTGCCTGCAGCACCAAGCAAATTCCCTCAGCTCCTAAGGAAGCAGCAGGCACAGTCCAGGTGAAACAAATTGCTCAGACTTTGCTGCAACTGTTGTGGTTTTCACCCATGAGGAAGAGCAGCCCTGGCCCGTGTCACGGCTGTGCCTGTGGCTTTAGCCCCATCACCTTCTCCCAGCTACAAATCCCCCACAAATGGAACTGAAGAGATGCTGATAAAACTTTAAGAGCCTGGTGAATCCCACAAGCACACAGAGCAGTTACCTAAGCACTGTACTTTGCTCACATAACATGTTTGAAAAAGGCATCCTTAGCCCCATCACTGGACATTCAATCCACATTACAGTACCTGCAAAAACTATATCATTTCTAGAATTACATATTTTATTTTCCTTCCAAGCTCCTTAGAGACACTAGTTTTGTGTCTTCTATTTTCTGACATTTAAGAAAAGGAAATGTACACTGCTGGGATCGCCAGTTTGGCCATGAGATCATGGATGCTGCTGGTAAGAAGTGCACATCCCCTTGGCATTCCCACTGGAAGGAGTTCAGAAGAAGTTCTGGCAAACTGCAGCAAAGCAACATCACAGTCCACTAGAGAGGAAAACTGAATTGCATAAATGATATTTTTTCCTGATCCAAAACCTTGGTGACTATTGCTGTATCACTCAAACAGCAGGAGAGGGAATTCCTGCAGCCACAGGCAGCTCTCCATCCATTTCTATTCCAGATGGAGGAGCTGAATCAATCAGTGATTGTTGCAGGACATTGACCTGTACAAGGTACCTGTCAAAATATTCTGCCTGTATTTTAACTGCAGCCTCGAAATTCAGCTCAGTTTGCCCCCCACGGTCTAATTCAGTAAAACACCCACAATTCCCAGATGAAGCAAGGCGGGACTGCAGAGCAGCACCCACGCCCCAGGGAGCAGAGCAGTCCCCATCCAAGGGTGCCATCTGCTGACCACAGTTTATTTCCTTACTCCGGGTGTCACTTCCATTCTCTGTTCTGGATTAAGGAGGTGACTAAACCCAAATTCAGCACTGCAGCCTGACAGAGTCATGTCAGATTTTGAAGTAAGTTGTTTGGTCTTTTTCATCGATCCTCAACATGTGTGGATCAAAACTGTGTGGCATCTTTTCCAGTTTGGAAAGGCTGAGCCTCAGGGGAAACTCTTCACATGTCCCAGATCACCTGTACTTTGGATTAATTGCAAGAGAAAATACTATTCTGGTTTTCCTGATGTGCTAATTCCATGATATTCTCAGGAGTGAGGCTCTGTGGTCTCCCACATTGCCAGCCCCACTGCAGGCAGGGTGGGAATGCCATGGAGTAATTTCAGGTGAAACAGAGGATTCATTTTATTTCACATTCTATTCTGTACATCTCTCTCTAATTCCATCTTGGTGTGATAGGTCACAGACACCAGTTTGCTAAACTGAAAATTCAATCTGAAATTGATCTCTGGTGAGATCTGCAGGATGTCATCAGTGCTTTTATAATTTGGGAGCTTTTTTCAAGTTAGGGCCTCAGTTTTTGTCTGATGCTTCAAGCTCATCCCCCTCCCCAGCAGCAGGGCTGACCCCAGACTGCAGCTATGGATAGTGGCTGTAACCAGAATATTTGGGGAGAGCCAAACCTTGTGGTCGCTAGAAAATCCAATTTTCAGTGATTTCTTTCCCCAAATAGTTGGAAATGACAGGATTTCTACAGAAGTAAGAGTCTGAGGAAGGAAGAGGGTAAAGTATAAAGAGAGATGGGGAAAAGGAAAGGATCAGGTGCTGAGCAGAGCCAAGGCTGAGCCACAAGGAGGAGCCCGAATCCTGCTCAGTCAGGAATGAGGTCGGGAGGTACCAGGGAAGCTGGAGTGCAACAATTCCTTATTGCTGCAGCCTTCCAAATGACACAAACAGGGCAAAACACATCCCTTCCTGTCTGTCCCAGGACAGCTGAACTCTGCTTCATGCGGTGTCCCTGACCTCACCAGGATGAGCAGCAGGGCCCGGGCAGAAGGGTTTAGCCTTCACCTAGGTAAGGAAACAGCCGCAGCATTTCTGGGACAGCCTGTGCCCACTCACTTCATGCCTCTTCCCAAATCTTCCTCCTCGATCTCACCCCTCAGTCATGGACTAGAACAAGACAAAGCAAACCCTCTACACCCAGCAGCTGCCACGGGAGCACTCCCCAGTCTGTGCCCCTTACCAGCATGAGCAATAGGAGAATCTGCAACAGCCAACTGCACCTTTCCCTGTTGGATACACAGTTTGGCAGAAAGTTACTGAGACTTTTGAGAAAGACTATTCCTGCCAGGTCAATTTTTAGGGCTGGTAGTTTTAAATAATCATTTGAATCTTTTGAGTGCTGTTACAACCTCATAGTGAAAATATGTTCTATAGCTAAGATAAATATCTTAATAGTATTAATGCTGGGAACAACAAGAAATCTTTGCACTGCTGCCTATTGAGACAAGACCACTGATACAGGACTGCACCTCAGATCATGAGAAAATCAGTATCTAATATTCATGATATCATGGGGGAAAAAGTATCTAATATTCATATATTTCCCCTGGAAATGGGCAGCTGAAGGGAACAGCTGGGCATTACTGACTCTGGACTGGAGGGTTTTTTTCTTTAGAAGATGGATGACTTCATGAAAGCCTCACATCTCCCACAGGCTGAAGCTGTTTGGTCACTAAGCTGTTTGACAGCTGATAGGACACACTGGACTTGAGAATGCACAGGTTTGAGGATCCACGGGCTGCTGTAATTCTGCAGCCTGAGAATTACCACAGAAAGTATCTGCACAGCCCCATCCCTGCCCTGGCTTCCCATTTATTCTCTTCATGAGCAGGAAAACATAACATACTAACTACCAGGTTAGAGAGAAGTCTGAGGCAGAGCTGATCCTGCTCCACACCTACGGATTTTGGCCACACCTCACTATTATCATATGAAAAGAAAAAGAAAAAAAAACCCAAACAAGCGAAAGGAAAGCAACCCGGTATGTAGCTGATTCCAAACAACAACAGCGTGCAGGCTCATAAATGCTTCAGAATTGACCAAGAGGAAGCACGTTTCGTGATGACACAATCTTGTTGCTGTAGTCATTCATCGAAGGGAAACTCCCACAGGAAAAGGCATAAAGCTGCTCAGGGAAGGCGAAGAGGCTGCTCAGTGCTAGGCAGCCAAACCTGGGGTTCGATTCACACAGAGCTAAGCATGAGCACCAGCCAAGGCCCTTTCCAGTTTTTTTCTGGGTCCCTCAGGGGTAGTTCAGGGTGTGGTTTGGCCCAGCAAGGAACTTCTTACAGAGCATCAAGTGCAGATGGTGGTGCCAGCAGCACACATGCCTCCTTCTCCTCCAGCAGACCCTTCTGGCTGGCTGCAGGAGGGACAGCCTGGGGAGGCTTCGGCGAGCACTATGGGGAGAGCATCTTCCTGGGTGGGAATGAGAAACAGACTATGCAGAACCTGAATGAGCGCTTGGCTGCCTACCTGGACAAGGTCCGTGCCTTAGAAGCAGCCAACGCTCAGCTGGAGAGCTGCATCCTAGAGTGGCACAGGACAAAGTCTCATGGAAAGAGGCATGACTTCAACCAGTACGAGCAAAACGTCACTGACATGCAAAGACAGGTAAGTCAGAGCTGGGACTGTGTCATTCTGTGCTCTTCTAAGGAAGCGGGCTTCTCCTTTCTGCTGATGGCTTTCCTTTAGAGAAGTTAAATAAAACCTTTGCAATCCTCAGGAAGGTAGTTCCAGGACCTGGGCATAAACATTCTTTGTGGGCACAAGAAAGGCTGGAAGGGGGCGAGGGGGATTCTGCAGAGACTGGCAGAATGAAGGGATCCGTGTGCTGCCAAGTGTTCCTTTCTGTACTGAAACTGGGGTTTGAGTAACTGCAGCTGGCAGAACTTGGTCTTTTTGACTGCACAAGTCTTGAGCAAATTACAAAGCAGGAGGAGTGCAGAGCCTGCCCCTCTCTGCTGCTGTCTCCAGACAGACTGGGGCATTCCAGCTCTTTGATTCCTGCGGTAGCAGACAATGAAACTACAGGAGTTTTGGGACCAGTGAGCTTATGTAATCAGATGGAAAAATACTTCATTGTAATTAAGAAAATAGCAGTGACAAATTCCTTGTGGATGTTTTCACTATAATTAAAAGGAGAATTTCTGGTTCCTGCCAGTAGTTAATATTAATGTTCAACAGTAACTCTTTCAATCTCCCAAACTCACGTGTCTTCAAATTTAAGCATAATATTAATCTGTATTCATAATGAACATCCTTAGCACTGTAACCATCTGTGTGACTAATCAGTGTAATTAACTTTACATACCCATATGGGGCAAAACCCAAAGCTCTTCCAAAAGCAATGTTGTCGTTTGCTCTCTACTTTTTATAATACAATTACTTGGCATTCTCCTGATCCTGAGAAATTCTTTTCAAAAAGGCTTGGAAATTGTATTAATTCACATCTTTGCTGACTGGGGCCAAGGACTTAATCAAACTCCATGCTCACAGCTAAAAGTGTTGCCTCCAGGCAGTAGGTGAGGTGCTCGGACCACAGCCTGTGTATGGAGAGGCAGAACTGTCATCACCCATTTCTGTTTTAAGGATCAAGAAAGGTCACCCTCCCCAGAGCTGGCACTAGGGTACTTTTCT